CAAACAACGCGCATGCGCGAAATGAAAAAAATAAAATAAAATGGCGACAATTTACCCATCGCAAAGTGTACGTTTCTCAATAAATTAAACCCTTCTTTAGTTAACCTTTTTCTTTTTAATGTTTTACTTAGTCTTACTAACCAGCGACTGTGAGAGTTATATGAAATTTATAACAAATACACAGAAGGTATATATGTGGAAATTCAACGACATATTTTCTCCCCCCACCCATTTTAATTTTCCCCCTGTAGCGTGACCAAAATTGTTCATAGGGTTGTTTAGTGAATCATATAAATGAATTGCAAATCAAATTTTCTTATATTTCTACAGCTTTAAAGCCGATAAATGGTGGCTGTATGTTCATTTTCTTCAAACATACTCTGTAAGTATCGCTGTATACATGAAATATAAATAAAAGAAACAATTAAGAAAAAAACAAATCCAAGTTTTATGGAATCTGCGGCAGTGAGCCAATTTTTGAATATAAAAACAAAATTATATGCATATATATATATATTGTTTATTTATTTGTTTGCAATTTGTTTCTGTCATTGATTTCTTTTTGGAATCATCTATTTTGGACATATGGGAATTTGTAAGAAACTTTCGAGTGTTTGTCAGAGAAAGAATATAATACGTTCTTTATTTTAGTATAAATCTTTATTGTTTTTTTTTCTGCGTAAGAGAGTGGTTTGTTTTAAAAATAAAAATTTGTTTGCTGAACGTAAAAATAAACAGGTGTTTATTTTAAAACATTTTTCTTCTTTAAAATCTGTTATGCTCATGCTAGTGTTCAAGTGTATACACAAATAGCCTAAGTTAAATATAATTTACGCATGTGATATACACTGTCTATATTTCTAAGATCAGGTAATGTAACTATTTACATTATATCGTTAGAACAGTTGTCTTCTTCTTTAATACCGTATACATGACGTTTCGGCTGTTCGGCCTTCTTCAGGATCTGTCTATATTTCTGAGATGAGGTATTGTAACTATTTACACTATTTATATCGTTCGGACTGTTGTCTTAACTTTTATTGCTATATTCATGACCTTACGGACGTTAGACGCCTCAGCCTTAAACTCACACTTGACCTCAAGTGGAACTCGAACATACAAGCCATCGCTTAAGATGTCGGGAAAATGGTCGGCTCCCTGCACCGCCCCAGTAAGTATCTGACTCCACATGCCATTCTCTACCTTTACAAGAGTGACATTAGGCCAAGAATGAAGTACTGTTGTCATATTTGGGCGAGGACTGCCCAGATCGCAGATTTCAGCGTCGATAGAGTCCAATAGCGTCTCCAGTCCTTGTGAATTCGACCCTCCAACTTCTCTCTCTTTCTCTCTCTCTCTTTCTCTCTCACCCCCCTCTCTCTTCTCTCTCACAGGAAGGATGTGGTAGGCCTCTCACGGCTCTATCTCTGCTTCCACGGAAATTCTTCGGACGAACTATATTCCTTGGTTCCGCCTGGACTGATCTTCATGGGAAGGACCTGTCATGCCACTTACATTGTAGCAAACTACCCACATACGCCCGTATTCCATCGGTAACAAGTCAGTTCCCCTCGAACAGCTTATTCCCGCAAACCTCTGCTCTGTGGAACCGACTCCTACAATCTTAACATGTTCCAGTCTAGGGTTGACCGTTATCTCTACCTTGTATCCGTGTAAACAGCCTATTTATATAACCCTATACAACTAGTGAACCCTGACATTGTACAGAGTGACCATTACTGTATAAAAAAAGCAAAAAAATACATCACATTGAAACATTGGTCACCGTAAAATATCCCTCCTCAATAATTTATATCAAAGAACTACAAAATTTTTAAAGCCGTAGACAACTGAGGCGGCTTAATATATTCATTTGGTGCGTTTTTTTTGTATTTCCAGAAATTAAGTTTTAATATTTAGACATTAAAAATGTTTTTATGTCATATACATTATATTTTGTTATACAATTCTGAAGAATTATTTTCATAACTATCTCTCTCTCAAAGGTGGGATGTGTTGAGTCTCTCCTTACTACCATATTAGCTACTCGGGTGAACCACATTCCTTGGTCGGGTTTATACTTTAGACTAGTGGTTCTCAACTTATTCATGGCCCCTTTTTGATTTATGATTTTTTGATGTCACCCCCCTCCCTAGCCATTAACTTTAACAAAAACATATTTTACAATTTCCGGAACAAATAAAAAGTGATATTCCTCCATATAAACTTCAAACCAATTTAAATTAAAAAATGTTCTCTGCATAAATGCACACACACAAATTTAAAAACTTAAACAAAAAAATAAAAAGTTCAGCACATAAATTCTCCATAAATACGCGTTATTAACATAAAATCACATGGAAATTATTTTATTGCATAATTTAAATTTATTAAAATTGAAACATAGAGAACAACAAGGTTGTAGCACTGTGTCCCATTTTAATGAATTTGTGGCTCCTTAAATCCACAAATTTTTTATATGCCCCCTCCCCGCCTAAAATGTAATAGTGATCCTTGTGGCCATATAGCTCCCGGTCAAGAACCACTGTTTTGGACTATAAGTAAACATTCGCCCTGTTTATGATTGGGTATAGAGGTAAACATTGTTTGGGTGTATACTTTTGGATTTTAATCCATTTTTAGCTAAAATTGTTCGACAAATATCAACATCGTGTTAATTGTGGACATTTTTTTTACAGATAAAGAGGAGGATATGGGCAACAGAGATGTAGTTCTTCAGGATACTGAGAATACGAGGTTTTAAGGAAAATGAAAACGAAACGGACTTCTTCTATGTGCTATGCCCCTTCAGGATGTGGGTGATCATGTCTCTCCACAATTTCCTGTCCTTTGCAGCTCGTAATAAATCTTGTATTTTTGTTATCTCTCCTAAAACCTGTTCCGTCATCCATTTACTCAAGCTCGTTAGGTAAGTTATACGTTGTTTTCCTCTGTTCCTCTTGCCTTCAATCTGTCTTGTGAGTATCACATTTTCCAAGCACTCTTTCTTCATTATGTGCCCTAGAAATTTCAGGTTTGGTTTGGTTTGGTTTGTTTTACGGCATATCAACCACAATGGGTTATTTAATGCCAACAATTTTTATTGCTGGTAATATTTTCCTTCAAAAATGTATTGCTAGTAATATTATTTTCCTTCGAAAATATATTGCTGGTAATAATATTTTCCTTCAAAAATCTATGTCTGGTAATATTTTTTCTCCAAAAATTTATCGCTGGTAATATGTTTCAAAAAATGTATTGCTGGTAATATTTTTTGTCGAAAATGTATTGCTGGTAATAATTTTGATAAAGTATTCCTGGTATTAAAACCTATTTTTACACTTTCATAGAGTTCTGACCCCAGTTTGGTGGGTAGAGTTAACTATTTGCCCATAGCTGGAACCCTAACAGGTGCTACCACCCCGGGTCAGGGTGGACCTGGGAACACCAGCAATTAAGAGGTGGTTCCATGCTCCTCAAAACCTGATCAAAGGCCTTGATGTCGGATGTAGTTTATCGTCTTACCCAGGACGCGGATGCATTTTATCGTCTTACACAGGACGCGGATGTAGTTTATCGTCTTACCCAGGACGCGGATGTAGTTTATTGTCTTACGCAGGACGCAGATGTAGTTTATCGTCTTACCCAGGACAGTGATGTAGTCTATCGTTTCACCCAAGACTCGGATGTAGTTTATCGTCATACCCAGGACGCGGATGTCGTTTACCATCTTACCCAGGATGCAGATTCAGTTTATCGTCATACCCAGGACACTGATGTAGTTTATCGTCATACCCAGGAAGCGGATGTCGTTTATCGTCTTACCCAGGACGCGGATGTAGTTTATCGTCTTACCCAGGACGCGGATGTAGTTTGGTTTATGGTATTTTTAATATCCTTCTGCAGAACCACATTTCTGTTGCTTCAATTCCAACTGTGAAGAAGGTTTGGCAAATTTGACACTCACAGTATCGATTTCAAAGGCATGGGCAAATATCTAACAAATTGCCTAACGATCTTTTGTAAATGGATGGCAGAACAGAGAAAGGGGTGAATTGTAAGGGGACAAAGATTGTGTGCGGATACAAAGGATAAGAAATTGTGGAGAGCCATGAAGGAGGGAACGGAGTATAGAAAAGAAGAAAATTGTTCGATTTCGTAATAGAGCAGTCTTGGTCACTATTTTAAGATTTTGTAATATCTAAGAATCATATGTTAGTGACAAATTTAAGGTAGTAGATTTTCTGTTATCAGTTTCAATTATATGTACCACCGTGGACTTTCTCGAGATAATTCTTCTATACAGAAAGTTTTAATCTTGCTTTCAATTATTTATGTGTAAGAAGATCTACACACACACACACACACACACACACACACACACACACACACACACACACACACACACACGTGTGTGTGTATGTGTGTATAGGGTTTTTTTTCGTTTGTGAAATATTGTTTCTTCTTGTTTTCCTGTCAAACGGCTAACTATTGTTTACAAAATATAAACATGATAGAAAAAAAACGCTTTTTACTTCCCTCGAAAGGAAAAAAAAGGAAGAAAGGGTAAATAAAAATCATGATAGATTAAATAAGGAATACAAGTTTCCAAGAGTCAATCAAAATAAATGGACAATGCTCGATCGAATTTACAAATGATGAGAAAGGGACGCCATTATTGGGAGTTCGTTTCGTTTTTTTTCTCCCCTTTTTAGATAGTGAACCGCGGTTTGCATCTGAGCGGCGGGAGGAAAAAAATGGGTAGACAAAAAAGACGAGTAATGGTAAACAGTAATTTCATATAACATACGTGAATTACTTTCTTCCTATTCTTTATATGATTATTATTTTTTAATTTTTTTTTTCGTTTCGTTATGAAAACGATATTTATTTATTCTAGCATTTATTTGATCATTCGTTTTACTTTCTCCGTTCATATCATTCCATCTTGTTTTTACATCGCTGCTTCTATAACTTCTTCATATATCTGTTTCTTTTAGTTTAACCTATCTTTCTTTCTTTCTTTCTTTCTTTCTTTCTTTCTTTCTTTCTTTCTTTCTTTCTTTCCATCATTGTTTGTTTCTTTCTTTCTCATTGTCTTCGTTTGTCTCTTTCTTTAATTCGTTCTTTCTTAACGCCATTGTATCTTTCTTTCATTGTTTTTAATTGTTTTCGTTTTCTCTATGATTTTTTCCTTTTTCTTTTTTCTCATCGTCTTCGTTTGTCTGTTTCTTTCTTTCTTTCTTTTTTTTGAACTCTTGTTTTTCGTCTTTCTTTCTCATCAGCTTTTTTGGTCTGTTTCTTTCTTACACACATTTCTTTCGTTCTTTCACTTCACCCTTTCCTTCTTTCATTTTTGGCATCGTCCTTTCTTTCTTTCTTTCTTTCTTTCTTTCTTTCTTTCTCATCGGCGTTTTTGGTCTTTATTTCTTTCTTTCTTTCTTTCTCATCGGCGTTTTTGGTCTTTATTTCTTTCTTTCTTTCTCATCGGCGTTTTTGGTCTTTCTTTCTTTCTTTCTTTCTTTCTTTCTTTCTTTCTTTCTTTCTTTGCTAGTTAATATACATAGTGTTCCAGCCTTCCATTTAGGTTTAGTTTTAAATCTTTCCATAACATTCTAACCATAAAACTTGATATTCTTCGGAAACAGAAATCCAACTTTTGGAGCAGGCATTACCAGATTGATTCAAGTCTACAAATATTTCTTCTTCTTTTAGCGATAATAATAAAACAATTTTCCTCAGATATTTTAAGATTTACCATATTACAAAATAATTTTGTTTAAGATAAAATCTTCCATAAAGTTTGGTACATATATATATATATATATATATATGTGTGTGTGTGTGTGTGTGTGTGTGTGTGTGCGTGCGTGTGCATGTTTATGTATCTGTTGTGTGTGTCTTTGTGTAAAGCAACACATTAGAATTACTTTTTGTTTTACAAATTTTCTGCAAATATTCCTGGAAAGCAAAGATGCCAATATGGGCGAAGATTAAGAAAGATGCTATACAAATTCCAAAAGGTCAGAAAGGCTGAAGAATATATCGGCAGTTAAAGAAAAAAGCAACGAAGATAATTGTACGTATATAAAAATGTTTAGAATACTTCATCTCCGAACTTCAAGTAATACAAGAAGGCCAAAGAATATATTGGCCGGAGTATTTATATAAAAACAGTAGTATCAGAAAAACAGTAATGTCAGAAAAACAGTAATGTTAGAAAAACAGTAATGTCAGAAAAACAGTAATGTTAGAAAAACAGTAATGTTAGAAAAACAGTAATGTCAAAAAAACAGTCATGTTAGAAAAACAGTCATGTTAGAAAAACAGTAATGTTAGAAAAACAGTAATGTTAGAAAAACAGTAATGTTAGAAAAACAGTAATGTTAGAAAAACAGTAATGTCAAAAAAACAGTAATCTCAGAAAAACAGTCATGTTATGTTAGAAAAACAGTAATGTTAGAAAACAGTAATGTCAGAAAAACAGTAAGAAAAAACAGTAATGTTAGAAAAACAGTAATGTTAGAAAAAACAGTAATGTCAGAAAAACAGTAATGTTAGAAAAACAGTAATGTCAAAAAAAAACAGTAATGAAAAAGTATGTTAGAAAAACAGTAATGTTAGAAAACAGTAATGTTAGAAAAAAAATGTCAGAAAAAACAGTAATGTTAGAAAAACAGTAAGTCAAAAAACAGTCAAAAAACAGTAATGTCAGAAAAACAGTAATCAGAAAACAGTTAGAAAAACAGTAATCTCAGAAAAACAGTAATGTTAGAAAAACAGTAATGTTAGAAAAACAGTAATGTTAGAAAAACAGTAATGTTAGAAAAACAGTAATGTCAGAAAAACAGTAATGTTAGAAAAACAGTAATGTTAGAAAAAAAACAGTAATGTTAAAAAAACAGTAATCAGTAATGTCAGAAAACAGTAATGTTAGAAAAACAGTAATGTTAGAAAAAAAAATGTTAGAAAAAGTGTCAAAAAACAGTAATGTTAGAAAAACAGTAATGTTAGAAAAACAGTAATGTTAGAAAAACAGTAATGTTATGTTAGAAAAACAGTAATGTTAGAAAAACAGTAATGAAAAACAGTAATGTTAGAAAACAGTAACAGTAATGTCAGAAAACAGTAATGTTAGAAAAACAGTAATGTCAGAAAAACAGTAATGTTAGAAAACAGTAATGTCAGAAAAACAGTAATGTCAGAAAACAGTAATGTTAGAAAACAGTAATGTTAGAAAACAGTAATGTTAGAAAAAAAGTAATGTTAGAAAAAAACAGTAATGTCAGAAAAACAGTAATGTTAGAAAAAACAGTAATGTCAAAAAAAACAGTAATCTCAGAAAAACAGTAATGTTAGAAAACAGTCAGAAAATGTCAGAAAAAGTAATGTTAATGTTAGAAAAACAGTAATGTTAGAAAAACAGTAATGTTAGAAAAAAGTAATGTTAGAAAAACAGTAAGAAAACAGTAATTAGAAAAACAGTAATGTTAGAAAAACAGTAATGTTAGAAAAAACAGTAATGTTAGAAAAACAGTAATGTTAGAAAAACAGTAATGTTAGAAAACAGTAATGTCAGAAAACAGTAATGTTAGAAAAAACAGTAATGTCAAAAAAACAGAAAACAGAAAAACAGTAATGTTAGAAAAACAGAAAATGTAATGTAGAAAAACAGTAATGTTAGAAAAACAGTAAGTAGAAAACAGTAATGTTAGAAAAAACAGTAATGTTAGAAAAACAGTAATGTTAGAAAAACAGTAATGTTAAAAAAAACAGTAATGTCAGAAAACAGTAATGTTAAAAACAGTAATGTCAGAAAAACAGTAATGTTAGAAAAACAGTAATGTCAGAAAAAACAGAAAAACAGTAATGTTAGAAAAACAGTAATGTTAGAAAAACAGTAATGTTAGAAAAACAGTAATGTTAGAAAAACAGTAATGTCAGAGAAAAAACAGTAATGTTAGAAAAACAGTAATGTCAGAAAAACAGTAATGTTAGAAAACAGTAATGTTAGAAAACAGTAAATAGAAAACAGTCAAAAAAACAAAAAAAACAGTAATGTCAAAAAAACAGTAATGTCAGAAAAACAGTAATCTCAGAAAAACAGTAATGTTAGAAAAACAGTAATCTCAGAAAAACAGTAATGTTAGAAAAACAGTAATGTTAGAAAAACAGTAATGTTAGAAAAACAGTAATGTTAGAAAAACAGTAATGTCAGAAAAACAGTAATGTTAGAAAAACAGTAATGTCAAAAAAACAGTAATCTCAGAAAAACAGTAATGTTAGAAAAACAGTAATGTCAGAAAAACAGTAATGTTAGAAAAACAGTAATGTTAGAAAAACAGTAATGTTAGAAAAACAGTAATGTTAGTCAAAAAACAGTCAAAAAAATAATTAGAAAACAGTCAGTAATGTTAGAAAAACAGTAATGTTAGAAAAACAGTAATGTTAGAAAAACAGTAATGTTAGAAAAACAGTAATGTCAGAAAAACAGTAATGTTAGAAAAACAGTAATGTCAAAAAAACAGTAATCTCAGAAAAACAGTAATCTTAGAAAAACAGTAATGTCAGAAAAACAGTAATGTTAGAAAAACAGTAATGTCAAAAAAACAGTAATCTCAGAAAAACAGTAATCTTAGAAAAACAGTAATGTCAGAAAAACAGTAATGTTAGAAAAACAGTCATGTTAGAAAAACAGTAATGTTAGAAAAACAGTAATGTTAGAAAAACAGTAATGTCAGAAAAACAGTAATGTTAGAAAAACAGTAATGTCAAAAAAACAGTAATGTCAAAAAAACAGTAATCTCAGAAAAACAGTCATGTTAGAAAAACAGTAATGTTAGAAAAACAGTAATGTCAGAAAAACAGTAATGTTAGAAAAACAGTAATGTCAAAAAAACAGTAATCTCAGAAAAACAGTCATGTTAGAAAAACAGTAATGTAAAAAAAACAATAATGTCATAGCTTAAAAATACGTGGAATAAGGAATATAATTTATGACTGACTTTCGAGGATAAGGAGTTATTTCCATTCTTGACACACAAACTAATGTCATCGTTTTATTTGTTATTATAACGTTTTGGCTATGAGGATCTCCTTAGTAGGCCTAGCGTAGAAATAAATACGATATGGGAGCCAGTAATAAATAATGTGATAATGACAACAAGGTTTCAGTAAGTGAAGCCCCTTGAAGTCATAAGCAAACTTTTATACGTCCTGTGTATGACGATAAACTACATCCGGTAGCAAGGCCTCTGATCGGGAGGTTTTGAGGAGTGTGGAACTACCTCTTAATTGTTGTTGTTCCTAGAACCAATCTGATGGGGTGGTAGCACCTCTTAGGGTCCCAGCTATGGGAAAATAGTTACTCTCGCTCCTAAATTGGGTCCAAAAGTATATGAAAGTTTAAAAATACATTTTTATAGTAAAAAAAAAGAACAGCAATACATTTTTGAAAAAAAAATCACTAATACATTTGACTTTCGACTCTTGACCCTCTTTATAAAAAACAAAACAAAACATGAAACCCAATCTATAAACTGATTTCTTAAAAGAATACATATTCTATTCATATAAACCTATGATAAAATCTTGTTGACATTAAATAACCCATTAAGGTGTTGATATGCCGTAAAACAAAATAAACCAAATAAACCAGACTCTCTACAAACCCTCTTTACGTCAATGAAACCAGACTCTCTACAAACCCTCTTTACGTCAATGAAACCTGATCTACAAACTGATTTCTTACAAATAATACATATTCTATTCATATGAACCTATTTTAAAAATCTTGTTGACATTAAATAACTGTTATGGTCCGGTTCCTTGTACCCCGGGTGATGGTCCAAGGTAGAACCAATAAAGAAGAACTAGAACACGGATATGGAATAACATAGATATATTACAAACAGGAATATATACAGAGAAGTAGAAAAGGGTTAGTATCAGGTGTAGTAGTAATTGTCTGAACGCGACTCTGTTTCGGACTGCCTCTGACTCGACTGACTGACTCGCTCGCTCTGACTGACTGACAGACTCCTGACGGACTTCACTCCAGACTTCAGACGGAACAGTATTTAGTCCCCCTCCACTAACGAGGGTATCATGTGGCACAAGGCCGGTTTAACGTGGGATCTCCGAGCCCGTGGGATCTCCGAGCCCGTGGGCTCGGCCAAAAATATGCCCTTTGAATCCGTATAAACGGGTTCAGTGTCGGTTTACCTCCCCGAAAGAGACTCCGCCCTTCGGCGTAGCCTCGTTCGGGTTCCTTCCCGCCCGAAGGCAGAGAGTTCAACCGATCAGCCGGTCAGCCGGTCGCCCGACTTCAGACTGAACTCCCTGCGTCCTCTTGAGGCACAGTATTTATTACGTATGGAATAGTCCATTATGTTATTATGGGTAAGGTCCACGAACAATAACCCACTGAGGTGTTGATATGTCGTAAAACAAAATAAACCAAATCGGATTTTTTCAAATACAATTATTTTGCTTCTACAAACGAACACTCTTCATAAATAGTTATAGTCCCTATTTCTTTTTGTTTTTTTGGGATTTT